CACTCACCAAGTTTTATAAACCACACAAATAATTCAAAGTACAGAGCATATCTTCTTTTTTTTTTTAAATCTTAACTGGATTCAGGAAAGTGTTACACCCCTGAGTTCCACAGCAGTTCATAATCATATTGCTTGTGTACTAATAGAGGCCCCAAATCTTCCAGGTTTGTTCTGTTTTTTTTTTTTGTTTTTTGTTTGTTTGTTTGTTTGTTTGTATAGAGATGGGGTTTTTTTGGTCCAGGTAGACCACTGACACTGAGTAATCTTATATTATTACAAGTCCACACAAATTTAGTTTGTGGAAAATCTCCACAGAAAAACACTTTTCAAAACAGGTTATGATAATCTGAAATAAAGAGATGCACAGAGTAATATACATTAGGGGCCAAAAAAAGAAGAAACTGTTTGACCTAATTCTACCATCATATTTTTTACTGTGTAGCTCATTTTCCTTTAATTTGCTGATTTGATTGAAATTTTTAGGCAATATATTTTATTGTAGAACATTCCCTCATGCAGACAGCCTGAAAGCAATGTGGTGCCAGATACATGCACTGACCTCCTTCCCATGAACTTCTCCTCCCCCAGAAAATTCAGCTCTTTGCAAAAGCCAATGCAATCAAAAATTGACATCTGTGCTTCTCACCTCTAGTCCTAGCAAAATTAGAAAAGAAATTAATTGAAAACTGTTTCTTATAGACGAGCCATGAATAGCAAAAGCTCTTCTCCATCTAGCTCATTTCATATTGAAGATGGACAGAGAAGAAGTGAGACAAATCACTCAACTATTCTTACTTATTGTACATTACAAAAGCATACAGTGGAACTATCTTCCCCTGACTATGACTGGAAGCAATGATGAAAGATGAGAGGAATACCCCATAAAACCCATAAGCAATCAATTTCAACTCCTTGCAGGATAAGTGTCAGTGTTCTGTATATGTTCTAGAAGTATGTTTGGAAAGTAGTACAAGCCATCTATACTGTTGTTTTTATTTGTTTCCAACTTCAGAGCTTTATTTGTGCTTCACTTCTGGAATTTAACCTCAAAGCTCCTTAGAAGAAAGAATTTGCATTTCCCTTTTAGGTCTCATGTTTTTGTCCCAACTGGGAGACCCAACAGATGTAGAATTTTTCTTTTTAATGCATTCTCTAATGACTCATTTTTAAAGTGACTGAAACACTATCTCTAATTATAGCCGCAATATGTTCCTCAGTGAATTTCACATCCTGTCTAAGCATCACATTATGTTCTTCCAATAATTATAGCCTTTCTTCCATCCTTTTTTTGCTTTTATTTCAAGCCAGTCAAAACTTAAATTCAGTCTTTAACTTCATTACCTAAAGCTTCTCCCCCATACTAGATGCTCTTTGGATGTTCAGAACTAGTTGCTGTTTAAAACCGCCTTATAAACATTTCAACATGTTGATTCTTTCCCTGGTGGATACATGTTGTACTTCAGTCTGAACTTTCAAACTGAAAGTTTAAACTTGATTCTGAAGGCTGTCCTCACCAAGAATCTAATTTACATGTATCTCCATGAAAGGATTTATTTAAAAAATAAATAGGTATGAACAAATTCATTGTATTCCTTTGTCATAAATATCCTTTTCTCTCATAGAAAAGAAAGATGACTGGGTCAAGACAGATCACTGTCAATAATTCAAGGTGTTATAATAAATAAATTGGTTTCATTAACAGTTTCATAACTTCACACAATGCATTCCCTTGCTTGGTCCCTTACACATGAATACAGAAACCCTTCTGAGTGCTGGAGAGACAGCTGGGAGGCCAACCCGTGCTATTTATTCAGAAGTGGAACAAGTCAGGGATGCACCACTGACTTTTAAGACACAAAGTCCTTCAAGAAATGTTTTTATTTTTTTTGCTTCAAGGCCTCTGTAACAAGTTCTGCTGATTTTGTGTGCATATAACAGCCACTGTACTCCTGGCTGTTGGCTGAATTATATGCCTGTCTTTGACACCAGTAAGTGCCAACAGTCTTCCACATTTTCACCTGACTGCTGTCTTAAGTTTAACAATTTTTGTAGACCCAATAAGGCCACTATTCTCCAATGCTGATGGATTCTTGAGAGCCTCTCACGTGTTCTCTCCCAGCATGTAACTCTCTTCTTTTTGGCCTTGTTTCCCAATGTTTCTTTTTTCAGATATGTGTGTATCAATAAAAGATATTGACATGAACAGGCACAGAGGGCACTTTCACATTTTCTTATCAGGATCTCAAAACTCTGAGCTTACTATATCTTGTTCTGATATATTTCTTCACTGTGATGCCAGTGCATCTAAAGACTCATTTAAAATGAAAAGGCATTGAAATAGTGCAAATATTGAAGTGGGCATATTTAGTTTGCAGACAATGTATTGATTCTCTCTAAAGCATTATGTTCTTTCCACTACACTTCAAATAACAAGAATTTTATATTTACTTTTTCTCCAATTTCTTATTTCCTATTTTTTTCCCTTTAAGTAATGGAGTAGAATAGATGCAGAAAGCCCCAATTATTATATTGTTGGAATATCTCTCACTTCCTAACTGCAAGGAAATCTGTCAAGAGAAGCATCTTGGGCATTAGACAAGGTAACCTGTAAAGGTCCCTTTCAAACCAAACATAGATCTGTAATTCTATGACCTTCATTGATTGCACACTTAGGTGTCCATACTGTGCATAAGGTTACTAATTACTGTTGGAATTCAGCACTCTGCACCTCAAAAGGCCAGTATCAATCTCAGCCTAGGATTCCTCCAGTAATAATTTTTATTTTTCTTTCTTTCATTTTAGTTCAGATGCTTTTAGGGAATACAAATATATTCCTGCACTTTTGAAGTCAGTTATACACATTTTAATGCTACTTCTCCAGGGCAAGAACAATAGAGTTGTCACTAGATTTCAACTTGGACTCAGCTAATTCAGACAGAAAATAAATACATCTTTCTTGTAAGTATTAAAAAAACCCCAGCTAGTCTCAGATATATGAACCTGTTCCTGTTTTAGGTGATTGAGCTGCTGATATTTAGGTTCCTTCCTATCTATTTATCCAGGATGTTATGTCTGTCTTTGTTTGCCATTATGATAACATGTCAGATGCAAGGTTTTTGAAGGATGACATGCTGATTTAGTGCAACCCCAATGCATCCTCTTGCTGGACATCCTCTAATGAGAGCTAATTAAAAGCTGTCTGATAAATGCGAAAATTTATTCTTGGGAGGTAAAGTGACAAATTAAAAATAAGAGTGAAATCAGTTAAGAGAGCTAACACTTGCACTCATCCAGTCCATCAGAGGAAACTTCATAAGGATGGCATGAAAATATTTCTGTCTGTCAATGCCAACGGGAAAAGACTTTCATTGACAAGAGAAGCATAGAGCGCCAAGGTCTCGAGACAGCTGCCATCCACCATTAGCAACAGAAAGGGAAATAAAAGGGAAAAGGTTTTTGAAAAGACAAGTCAGAATGGTAAAATAAAACTTCAGTTGCAGAACTTTTGGCATGCTGAATGGGCATCACAGATCTTCTGACTGCAGCCACAAAACAGGCCCCATGCAGAACCTGTCTGGGCACATCCATGCTATTTAAAAGTTGCCATCCCAAAGCTGTGACATCCTGTAAGGGATGTACTTAGAATTAGCTCAGGAATCTCTTCCCACAAATCTGATTTTTTTATTTGTTTCAAATTCAGGATAAAGTCTGTCTTTCTGAATAACAGGGGTCCAGGCCTCAGTTCTCACTCCTACACTAGAAGCACATTCCACCCCACAGTTTGTGTCAGGAAAACACTAATGAAGAAAACACCAATATTCAGTATTAATTTCCAAAGACAAAATTCAGAAAAGTCCAGAAACATTCTGTGGGTTTTATTACATGTAGAATTTAAAGATAATTCTTTCCACTTACAGATGGGATTTAAATGTTAACAGCTGTGCATAGCCAGTTCAGATTGTGTGCATTTTCTCTAAGAATCTATATAATTGCTCTCACTTTTTGTTTAGTATTATTAAAGAAGATTTGATGGCTTGGGTAATGACAATAAATACAAACTGCAGGTCACAAAATCAGATGGTAGTAAAAATGATACATAAATGGGAATTGAGATACATGAGCATCTGTGAGAAATTATTCCAACATAAATATGCACAATAAAACTGTGTCTGGTTAACTTCCAGGCTGGCAGGATGAAAAAGATATTAACAGCCAGGAGACTTGCCACACTTTCAAACCTTTGCAGTCCCTAATGCTGGAAGGAAAAATGGAAACCCTGCAGCAGATACAGGACTAGAATTTCTCAGTGGGTATTACACTCTGGAGTAGCTAAACATGTCTTTACTGCAAAGCCTGTACCTAGCACTACGTACAAGGTTAAAGCATTTGTGCATAAATATATATATACACACACAGAGAGAATATATTTAAAGTAAAATCTACAGTTCTTTATAGTCATCCTTAGCACGTACATAATGAGAGATGCTGTGCTGATAACTTAAAAAGTGCTTTTAAAATCCTTTTTGCAATTCATGCAAATAATTAGGTTTTCTCTTTGATCTATTTTTGAGGTTTTGCTTTTTCTTTACAGAATGGACGATTCAGATTCAAAATAGGGCACAAAAACTACGCGTTGTTCACTGGCACAGAGATTTACACTACATTCACTTGAGTAATCTTGAAAACTGAAGTAGTGAAGCCAAATAGAAATTATCTTTGACTGGCTATGAGTTGTTGTTTATCTCCACAAGATTAGAAGAACTGTGACATAGAGGAAACAAGTTTTCAAATAAGCAAACCAGGAGGGGAAGAAGTAGCATCATAGAAATGAAGCCATGTGACTAAGAAGGAACAATGGACATGAGTTTTAAAACTATATAAAAATACATTTTTACTACAGTAATAAAAACACTGGAATTAAAGTAATAATCCTGTTTAATTAATTACATATGGATCAGACATTCTTCAATTAGCCATTCAATGATCTCACTCCAACTCACCATTTCTTCAAGAACTACAGGTAGGAGAAGCAAAGCAGCTAGGCCGAATCACCTGGAAAAAGAAAAAGAATCTTTAGAGCAAGATATACTACACAAAAATAAATACTTCTGTCTAGTCATATATATGATTCTTAACCAATTTGGGTCATTCAATAATGGCCTGTTGAGAGAAGCATTCTCTTTTATATGTCGTTTTTGTTTTTTAAAACCCATAGTCCCCAAATTCATACCAGGTCCATTCAGCAGTCTGGTGTCTTCTCTGTTGAGTTTCCATCCTGTTGTGGGTTGATCCTGTCTGGAGGCCAGGTGTCTCCCAAAGCCACTCTGTCACTCCACTCAGTCGGCCAGGGGAGAGAAAACCTGAAAAACAAACCCCACAAAAAGCTTGTGGGTCCAGCAAGGCAGGGAGAGATCCTTCACCAGCTCCTGTCACAGGCAAAGCAGTTTTGAATTGGGGAAATTAGTTGAACGCATCAAAATCAGAGCAGAGTAATGAGAAAGAACACCAAAACTCAAAACACCTTCTCCCTACCCTTCCCTTCTTTCCAGGCTCAACTTCACTCTTGATTTTTGCACCCCACGGTGGTGCAGGGGGATGAGGAATGAGAACTGGTGTCTGTTCATCACACCTTGTCTCTGCTACTCCTTTCTCCTCAGGGGCAGGACTCCTCACACTCTCCCTTGCTCCACTCTGGTCTCCCTCTCATGGGAGACAGTTCTCCATGAACTTCCACTGCTGCCCCAGCATGAGCCCCCCATGGAGCCACAAGTTCTACCAGAAATCTGCTCCAGCATGGGCCTCTTTCTCCACAAGTCTGTATGATCCCTGCCATCAGTCAAGACAAGTCATGCAAAGCACTTTTATTTTACACAGATTTTCAGTGGAGTTAAAGTATCCATTAAATGCCCAGCAACTTTTAACATATCACAGCCATTAAAATATCCATCAGAAAAGGAAAAAGGCCTTGGATGTTATTTGGTACTTCAAAAATATCAGTAATTAAAGCTATAAAATAAATAGAGCCTGAGGTCAGTAATACTGGTATGAAATACTGGGAAGGAGAATAAGAAAGAAGTATCAAATACAGCAAAAAATATAAATAAGTTTTTATTACTATTCATCTTCAGTGTTTTCTCTAAAGACTCAAATAACAATCTATAGCTGAATATCATATCTCAACTCCCTTACAGTGATCTTGTTGTCATTATGAGTGGATGCACCTATGTACACCAGAGGATGCATAAAAGGGCACAAAAGATACTGTAGTGATAAAAACAGTGTAATAACTTGTGAAAAAAAAAATCAGATTATTTTGGAGGTCGTACTTTATTTTCATTTCCTTTTGAAAAAAACAAAATGTCATACGCATAATGACAGGGCAGAAGCACTTTCATGTGCACTACCATGATTATGATAGAAAAAATGACCAGTTAAATGGCTTCAACCAGTTGAATGGCTTTTAAAAGAATGGCTTTGCCTGCTAACTACTATGGACCATGACTGCAAGTTAGAAAATTACTTATTTTATGTATACACCCAAGAAGATATTGGAGGTACTCTGTGCATAGGAGATTTTTTCAGAAAGCTAACTTTTTTGATGGGTAATTGATTTAAACATAAAACCAATCTTATTGTATAGGAACAAACTGAAAAAAACAAGGTGGAAGATGAAAAATCCCATGTGTCAAAATGGTGCAACAGCAGGAGCACAGAAGGGAAATTGCAGTACTCAAGTCTCTTCATAGCAGCCAATGGGACAAAATTGCAGAAGACATAGAGATGCTATCAAGCACTAATTGTGCCATTAAAAAAAGGCTGGAAAATATTGAGAATTAGTCATAAGGAGCTCAGATTGAGATGGCAATGTTGAAAGAGGAAAGCGAGACACTTAAGAACAAAAGATAAACAGGGCAGAAAATGGAATAACCTATCAAAATGATTACTCAATAATGGCAATTAAACTTTCAATGAAATGAGACTGTGCCACTAAATTAGGAGCAGAGCAGCAGCTAATAAATTCTAAACTGTATGCTGTCCAAGTAGCTGAGCTATTTGATACATTTCTTTTTCCACAATGATAATTAGTTATTGTAGCTTGCAGCATAATTGAAAAAAAGTCCAAGTTCCCAAGCTTACATGTGACCAGGTCACAAACCTTAATTTTCAGTACCTAGACCCTGCACAGCCTGGATGCCCTAAGGGCAGACCTTCATCTGGTCTGAGGGATACAATGCAAGTCATAGCAACAGAAGATGTTGATCATAGAAGAGAAGTTATCCAGAAAGGATCTATTGCTCCAGAGAGGGATTTTCATGGAAACCACAGATGTCTGTGCCCATCAGGAGCAAACAGTCTAATAGCTTTCATAACTGCTTTCATAACTATGAACACCACCCACTAGAAATCACACTCCACAAGCTTTCCAAGAACCCAGGGAAATTTGTCAGAATACTTTTTAGTAGTTCTCTCACTGTTGTGCAGCAGATTTAGTCAACCATGGCCTTGCTCCCTGTTCCACACCACACTTCTTAAAGTGAAAAATATCTGCATTATGATACGTGATAATTGGGAATTAGAAAAGTCTACATTTTAATCACATCTCCTGATTTCCTGACTCATTTTAAATTACTTATAATCTTCTGAAAGGTTTTGCGGTAAGCAATGAATTAGAGAGAAGTTAAAAGCAGAAACTACACATAGTTGCATCTGAATCACAAAGATCATCCACCTGTTTGTTTTTGATTGCAAGTACAATTGCAGTTCAGTTTCTCCTCTGCTTAATGACCAAGGTACATGAATGGACTGATACTTTTTTTGGTATTTATATTGTTAGATAACTCACAGAAAGAGGACATTGATTATGTTGCAGCTAATGATGGAAAAATAACAAAAAAGTGTTATTATAAAAAACATTAATGCTTCTTTGAATGTATTGTCTTTGTATCTGCAAATAAAACAAATTTTCTGCAAGTAAAGGCAAACCCACTTGCTTTGATGTGTTTTTTTTAGAAACACCATGCAGCGCTATCCAACAATGATTAGAGTCTGCCATTGAAAAGCTCATGGTAAAAATGTAAAACTACAAGCTCAATAGAGACCATGCTGATGTCCTATTTATTGGTTCTCTTATGTCTTTATTTTGGACATGAAACATCAAAAATCTATCCACCTAATCTGATGTTTAAAAATGCTCACTTATATGAGATCAGCTTGTTTTTTTCCTTTTATGACACATGGTGTAAAAAAAAAAAAATCCTTTAGTTAGCACCAGGCTTTGAAAAATCTAAGAACAATGCTTTAATCACTTTGTGAAGAAACTAGTTTGAATCTTTAATGCATTTTGAAGTCTTCTAACCTGGTTTTATAAGCTAGGTTATAAACCCAAGACTAACAATGCACATAAACTGTGATCTTAAAATATCCTTTATTTTTCCCTCTAAACAACATTCAAGTAAGTTACTTCATAAAAGTGGCTATCTTAAACTAATCACTTTAAACCAGAATAAGAAATTGGGTCATTAGTCTCCTTTCAGATTTCTCCTTTAATTATTTGGACCAAAAGCAAGAAATGACACTGGCAATTGCTGGCAATTTCCTTTCTTTCAGAGAAAACAACAAAAAAAAAACAACCCTTCAAAATCTACCAACCAACCAAATATGAATCCTTATACCATTATATAGTCAAATTTTATAACTAGACACATATATGTTAGAATTTGGGATGGGTTAGACTGTTGATTCATGACAAATCACACAGAAATAACTCACTAAATATTTATTTTGAGTCTATGTAACTTATGTCATAGGGTCATACCATTTGAGCTTGTTATATCACTGTTTAGCCCAGAAAAGAGAGGATAATTTAATCTCCAATTCTTATAGTGCACAGTATTTTTTTGAATGTGTTTGCTATTTATTAAACTCCTCAATGAACCCTGAGAAATACAAGTAATTTTCCCATTTAAGAAATTAAGGATGTAGAGTACTATCTTTTTTTTCCCTTTATTGAACACACAACACTGCACTGGTCTGATGGAAATCAGAAACTGTTCTTCATGAGTGGGAGTTAACCCAGCTGACATAGGTTCAGCTGCATTTTAATATTTTGATATCTGTGAACAGTAGCTGTGCTGGAGAAAATCACAGATTTTTGGTTTTTTTAAGCAGTCCACTTATACCATTCAATTTAAAACAGTTTTTCCTCTTGTTGAGACTAAACAAGGATTGTCAGTGCAGCTAATCTTCCCTACAGATGTCCAACATTCATTCTAGCAGAACTTTTTTTCTCTCTGACTGCACTTGAATAGACTGAAGTAGGGCATATTTAATACTCAGCCTCATCAAACTCAAAAAAACCCCAAAAACCTGGATCAAGATGCCCAAACATCCTCCCACAGCAACTACATTCCCAAATTGATTTATACCTTTCCTGTGGAATGCGTATTGCAAGACTGAATTTTATTAAAGACCTGTAGTTTCTCTCTAGCACTATTGCATTTGTAATCTGCATCTGCAAGGAATAATCACCCTGGATTTCTATTTTTAGTGACAATACCTGCAGTGCTTTGCAGTTTTCAATCGAAGCTATAGAGTAGCAGCCATGATCTTCCCTTTCCTCCTTGTCCCATGATATTTGCTGTGCTTGCTGTGATAACCCTGCTAGACAATTTGTTATTCTTCTTACAGGAAATCCCCAGGGCAATGCCAGATTACACTGCCATTACCCTGATACCAGATTATCAGCTTCCAACCACTTTCCAATTCCTTGTCCTTAACAGACCATTTCTTTCCTGTTCATATCATGTGGCACAAGTAACTTCTGCTTTTCCTTAGGAAAGGTGAGACTGATGAAGGTGGTAGACTGAAAAAAAGGAAAAAAAAAAAAAAAAAGAAAAGAAGCTAAGGTGAACTTCAGATACTGCTGACTTCTTGGCCGCTCTCTGAAAAGTGAAAAAAGTATTATTATTACAGTAAGTACAATATTCTATCTTGGAACAGAGATATTAAGGTACTTATTTTATAGTTCTATTCTTATTTCATTTAAGTTTCAATCTAGAAATCATACATTCATTTGACCAAAACTTGAATAAGATGAAAACACTTCAGCTATGTTAGTATCCTTATCCTGCACTAGAAAAAAATTGTTTAGCTACCATGTTGTTTAAATGGATGAAAGAGTAACCACCACACAGCTGAATAAGCACAGTGATATTTCCTATAGTTCCACTGCTTGACCTGCTTTAATAGGAAACTCTGTATGTGACAGAAATCTTTAACAGAAACCTATAAATAAATATAATTAAATTTTGCTTAGAAAGAAAGAATATTAAGGCTGCAGTTTAACATAAACCTGAAGTTTTGAAGTTACAAACTTTTGCACCTTAAAACTCCTTCAAGCAATCAAATATGCAGAGAGGCTTTCAGAATTAGATAGCTAAAGGATCTGTAAAGAATATGGACTTAGACTAAGGTCATTGCAGTGCTGCATTGCACATCCACTAAAATAAGGGATTTCATAGAAACTTTGTGGAAGCAAATAATCCTTCTGGTTTTGCAGGTGAAGCGCTCCACACGCACTGAGACCAGACTCCCAGGCTGCAGAAACAGCACCCTGAAACAATGAAACATATTCCAGGCTGGCCCCATGGAAGGTACATGCATAGATCTCCATCTACCTCAGTGCTTACTAAATGGGAAAGAACAAAAATCAATAGCAAGAGAAATTGCATTTTCAGGTTTCAAAGTGCTGCAGGTAATGCAGAAGAGAAAACTATTGAAAGTAAAGCAACCAGCAGTGTCCTTCCCACTGAGAAGTTACTTTGGTTTAGCATTTGCATTGGTGATTTATGTTGATGTAGTGGACTAATCTGGAATACTGATGAAAACTACCCATTAATAACAAGAGCTAGATGTATTATTATAATCTCCCTGTCTGCAAGAGACCTAATAGATAATTATGAATATTTGAGTGGGATAAGGATTTTAACAAGTAGTAATGACCTCATGATTCAGAACTGGAGAAAAGCCACCGATTCCCTTAATTAGTGTTTTTCTCACAACCTACCTATTAAATTCAAGGAACAATGAGGAAACTCTTCTGAAGTTCTGGCATGCAGAATTTGTAACCATGACTTTGCAATTTTTGATGAATGGAAACATTATTATCAGCTTATATTTCAGATTTCTGTTTTTCTCTTATAACTTGCTCAGTAGTTTTTACTTTCAGTATCACTTAAGCAGTTACAGTTTGATGAAAGACTATTTAAAAAGTATTTAATAGAAGTATTTAAATGCAATACGCAAATTTCACAAAGAAATGAAGCAATTCATCACTCTAAGACAGATATACCCTTCAGTTTATGTGAACCTAGAAGATGTGCTTTGTTTTTACTACAGGATATTTGATTTACCATTAGCTTTATATGCTGCAACATGTAGCACTCTCAAAGAAAAAAACCAAATAACAACAAAAAAAACCCTAAAAACCCACAAAAAACCAAACCAAACCAAAAAATCAACAAAAAAAAAAACCCAAAACCCCCATACAATAAAGTTTTTTTTTGTTTGTTTGTTTGTTTTTTTTCCTATTATGATGGTTTAAATACTAGTGAATGCTGTAGAAGGGTGCTGGGAAAAAAAAAATCCATCACATGAACAAAACACACGACAAGACATTGAAGAGCTTTGCACAGAGAGTGAAATTATTTGAAACAGTGCAAACAATTTTTGGATTATCTCTCACAATGTTGATCTTCCACTCCTTTTTTTTTTCCTTTCTTTTTTTACCACTTAAGTATAGGACATTTCAGAGGAAAGGAGTAGTTATTTTCTTTGTCCCTGGCCAGAGTATATTTTCTGTCCTGGCATAAATGCTTAGGGATCAATTCCTTTTCCTCATAATATGCATTACAGCCTAATGATAACTTCATACTATTTCAGTATTTCGTACATTGATTCAAACTCCCAGCTCCAAAAATGCTTTCAAGTATTTAATCTTTCTCATCATTTATTGTTCTTTTGATTCTCTAAGTATCAAGGAAAAAAAATATTCTTGAAATGACAAGCAACATATTGCCATAAGATCATTTAAAAATTAGTCCTTTACTAGAAATCATATGCCATCCTCAGATTTTTATGGAATCCTTGCTCAGTCACAACTCTTTTTGAATAAGTGAACATTTATAGGCCTCAGCACTGGCTCCCCACAGTTCTGATTCCACTATTGCTGCAATAATCAAGGCTCAGCTTTCTTCTTATTTTCCCCTTACCTGTGACTTCCAAAAGCTGTGAGGCCCAGGCTGCAAGGAGTGTGGAATGCCAAAAGCAGATAAATGCTCCTACACAGCATGTGTTCACAGAAAGGTACCCTGTTATACAAACACTCTATTTTTAGCCAGGAGTTGGTTCCCTCAGTCTGGTATAAGTAAATTGGGAATGCATTTAAAGTTAGCAAAATAAGACTCTCCCCACCTGTACTGATGTACATTCTGAAAAAGAATAATTGTATTTAACACATTTAATAATAGTATTTAAAATTTCAAGTACCAAGAATAATGAAATCCCTGTGTGGGTTTTTTATTTTATTTTGTTTTGTTTTATTATTTATTCTATTTTATTAATTTCTATTGACATACACACTGTTGTATTGGAATGGGAAAAACATTGTGTCATCCATAGGTAGTATTTTAACACTAGGGGAAAAAAAAAGATGAAAGGAGAATGTATCAGTTTGACTGTGCTAGTAGAATTACTGTGAATGTAGTTCAGGATCAAGTTAATTAAGACACTACAAGCAAATAAAACAAGCCCTCTGTTAAATATGAGATTTGAAGATGCGTTGCTAGCCAAGATAAAAGTTCCTGTCTGCAGAAACGCAGTTTTGTTTTCTTTCTAATTTTAGCCCAGGCAAGGAGATCATGCCTTCCAACAGTCATGGAAAAAACATACAAAAATCTTAAAGGAAAGGCTGACTTTTGAAAAGAGGATAACAGCACTTCAGCAGAAAGCTGGTTCCTTGACCTAACCAATAATTTCCCTAAATGCTTACATGTGCAACAATAAATATGATTTACGTAAAAGGATATGCTACGGCTAAAATGATGGTCTTGTAGCAATAACAATTAACTGATATTATCATCATAAAGTTGATCATATATTTCAGTAAGAGACCATCCCTGTTATTTGAGCTGAAGAATTTGAATATCAGAATGATATTAATCAGAAAAGAAATATTTATCCAGCTTGCAGGAAAGCTGTTTAAGTAGTCTTTCCTCCTTTCCCCCATAGTAATACTACTACCATGCAGCACTTTTAAGCTGAATTTTTGCATCTAAACAAATATATATTTGTGTCCACGTTATAATTTATGAGTGGAAGGTGTTTAAGGCCAATAAGACAACATATAATTAAAACAACATGACGGACAATATCTGAGCATGAATGTGCAAGCAGCTGTATCAGAACAAGAGCATTGGTACTTAATGTAGTTAGAGTGTCATAATATCACTAAACTACACTGTGCAAGAGTTTAATGTATTCAAGATGTGTTAAATAGAAGATACTAAAGGATAGCAACTCCAGATTCATTTCAGGCTTGTCTTTATACACAGAAATATTTCAAATATATATATATATATATAATGCATCACACAAACAAAACACATTCAAAGCTAAACTCAATGTCATGACACTAAAGGGTTTTGTGTAGAGGGTGAGATGATTTTAAAAATCAATAAACCACAAATGTCTCTGATTTGTGGCAGTGCCTCAAACTTCACAAAGCAGCCAAATCAGTT